GTGCTGATAGGAATTGAACCCAATTTGTTCGCTTCTTATCTGCATGGCTTTGCTGCTCTGGGCCCTGCTTAGGTGTCCGTCTATTGATTTCATTGATAAACTGACTTTAGTCTGGACTTACTCTGCTGTATGCAAACAACGATTGATCCGGCGACAGTCACAGACTAACATCGACAGTTCCAGCACGAGAACTCCATCCTCAACTGTTCATATGGCGACGAGGACTGACAAACCACTTCTTCTTTTGACATTTCGCTCAGTCCTGTGCTTCGCTTCAAAAGGCACCAAAATTCACTCTCAGAATATCTTTGCCTCTTGCTTTGGAGAAGGGAGATTATGGATTCAACAGCTACATATGGGCCGCAAGATCTTCAAGGGACAAGTACTAATTACGATTAGTACTGTGTTGTGAAATAAAAGGCCATAGGACCTTGGATTGACATGATTTCTTTCTATTTACTTTAATTCCTCCCGTAAATCTTGAAGTTCCATAGGTAAGCCATGTTCACGCAGGTTTCAAATCTTTTAGAGAAAGTTTGTAAGATACTAGCTTTCTTTTGTCATAAGTAGCCAATCCAGACGCTCACGGCTTGCGCAGTTTTGTTGTACAGAGCTATCCGGCTCGTTTGTTATCAAAATGATTGATTCTTATTTTGACATGCCAGGTACGAGCCCTGCATTTAAATTGAAATGGCACAAGCCATTGATTTCGAAAGACTCAATAACTCCAGCATGACCAATTTAATCTGAGCCAGGAAAATCGTACAAAAAAAGAAATTTCCAGAACTGGTGCCCTGAAACTTGCCTAAATCCTTTGATGTTATCCACCAATAGATAACTTTCGACGGCAACACCTTGGCTTGCGCTAACCGTAATCTTAATGGCCCAAGTCGTCTTCTCACACTTCCATCCACTGTAGCAAAAATTGTGTGTCATATGTTTAAAATGTCGACCGCACCATCCGAAACCCTAGTCTTGGCGCTCACAAACATGCCAAAGTCGGAAATCCTCACATATACTAGTATAAGCAAGCTCATTGACGTCCTCCACCATCTCTAGTTCAAACACCGAGCTGCTTGTAATCCCTCAAGTCGTAGTTCCACTGGAACAGCGATCCCCCCAAAAATCAAACCCGAATATCTGTGTACTATGACTTAGTTTTCTCCTTGATATAAACGATGCGTCGTAATTTTGTAGTGAGAGATGGTCAGCGATAGACGAGCCGAGCTCCCGTTAACAATTGAAATAACTTCTTTATCGGTCATCAAGGCAACGTGGTTTGTGGTACGGTTAAGATAGAGGACCCCCATGAGGATTATAATACCGAAATTGAGGAGAAGACGCCGATTATAGATGTGTTTGTGTTTGCTTTCGACTTCGATTCGGATGCGATTCTTCTTGGCTATCCCAGATATGCAGAGGACTGTGAGCGAATATACCGACACCGCTGGAAGGGTGAACAATTCATCTTTGCCGGCTGTGTTATTGCCAACTGTACGCGAGCATAATTCTAAATTCATAGAATAACAAATTCTATGGTCTTTTTACCTGCAGTACCTCATTGCTCGAGCCCAGCACATGCACGTGCCGCAGATAGACGATAGACGGGTGACTAGACCGGAATTTTAATGTACAGAGATCAAATAGAGATGGCCTTTCTAGTCGCCAAAGCGTAGCAGCCTTCGCAGTGGTCCTAGACCTTCACATCGGAATTAAATGGAGTATAATTCACCTCTGGTAGTAAGGACGGTACCACTGTAAGATGGATTCGGACTACATCGTAACTCTACTGCTGAGCATAGTCCAGAACACCAACGACCTCTGCCAAAAAAGAGACGACAAACACAAAGCTCCAGGAGTAGCCCAGTCTCACTCGCCTGAGCCTGGAAGAATGCCAAGACGATATCGCTAATTATATCGGGAGTGGACCTTTCCGACCCTTCTGCTAACATTGTGCGATAATAGATGATAAGGTTGAGAATCCAGCTGTCTCTGTGGATCCCGAACTCAAAGAGTCAATCATGTGGAGCACGCTTATCTTCCTTTGGACCAAGGGAGAATCAGAGAGTTCGATATACAGGACTAGTGCCTTGAAGCAGGAACGGGGTATCCAGTGTCGATGGCCACACACGCAAATACAGCTGGTCAACAAATTAGAGTATCAAAGGAAGAGAAGCGTAGATCTCATGTCAGGAAGGCTTCATCAACTGGGTAGTCACGGCTGAGAAAGAGAGGGAGATACGAAGAGAATGGAGTCCACACACTTCACTATTAATCTTAATTTTTGGCGCAGACTTTGAAGCCATCCAACGCCAAACTCAAATGTGTTATCATCACATGTTCTTTGTAGAGTGTTCAAACATCAGCCTCAGCCTAAAATATGCATGAGGGAGGCTACAAGCGTTAGAATCTAGCGGTTTCGTGATGCTAACTGGCGCAGAGTCTGAAAAATAATTGAGTTCAACATGACAAACTACAGGGCTACCTACTGATTATAATATCTCATTCTCGAGAGTGGATTTGCAAATTAAAAAAGTTTCCAATCTTTCCGATAGCTCTAGACTGCCCAAAACTTATTTGCCACCAAAGAGACAAAATATATGCCCAGGCCGCGCTGCATACGAAAGTATTATCCTGCATCACAATGGCATGAAAAGTTGCAACCAACCCAACCCAACCGAGAGGATCGATCAAAGCGACGTGTCAAAGATCTATTCAGCAGAATGGAGAGAGATTGGCGAGTCTACTCAAAGGGTTGTGGCGATTACTTAGTGGCGACAGGTGACTGGATCCATGCAAAAAAGCAACTCAGAGTAGTGTTTGCTTATACGAACCAGTTTTGAAGGGTCTACAATCAAACGGCTCGAATTTTTACACGCATGCAAGACCAATCTATCAAGATTTTTCTGATATCTCAGCTCGACTTATGAACAGTTGAAATTAGGCTAAAAAAGCAAAGAGTGTCTTCCCTAAGTACACATAATTTTGCAGCATCGAGCTGGTCGGCCTCTTCGATCACTTCAAAGCGGTAGCTATATCTTCGAATATAATCCTATTGCCGATAAGAGAGGCCCGCACTAAGGTTTTTTTGAAACTTTTCCCTGCAGCCACACACCGACAAATAGCCACCGATTTTTTGGCTAAAGAGGGAAAATAATAACAGGATAGTGGATCCTCTAATTGTGTCTCATATAAAGACCTGTGGGGATATATCTGCTAGAAAGAAGTCGTGAAGGAGGCATATATACTCCTGGCCTGCAAGCAGAAAGGATCTAATTTTTCTGGTACAGATATAGACCTGGTGGAACAATGATGTGTGTCATATATAGTCTTAGATCGAGAAAGAACAATGATATGATTAAAAAAATAGAAAAATTAACATACAGGCTAGTCATGCGCCGCAATCCCACATCTTCTCACACGTGAAATGATTAAACAAATCTAGCATGGCCTAGACTAAATGCAATGGGCCTCTAAGACCTAGCTCGATGCGCGCCTGAATTGGCAATTGAGCGACTGGCGAAAAAGGCAGCGCTAGCCATCCTCTTATCAGACCGATGATTGACTCGGATCCTTGACACCAACGAGGACACTGGCACACACTGGGGCGGGGAAGATGCGTACAATCGAAAGGAAGCTTGACTGGACCGACTACAAACGCAACGTGAGGCCGCTCTGTGAGGAGATGGCTACCCTGCAAAAAGCTCCATCAGTGGTCTATGTGCGGTAGGAGAGTCATATCCGCTCACTGCTTGTTTCCATTCATAGCAGGCAGCACACATCGATTGCAGTCCGCGCAAAGAAGGATTTCGTCTGTGGTGAGGCCACGCCTTCATGCACCAATAGGTAGAAGGATGCAAATGGATTTGCGCATTTGTTCGTCAAGGCGCCGCTTAGCATCGGCATAGTTGATGAGATGAGGTCTCGACTCCGGCTGGGCGCATCCTACTTGCCGCCGCCTCAACGGGACTCTATCAGGCTAGAAAGCGCTATCTTGTCACCACTGGTATGTTAGCAATCATGGCAGCCATTAACCATGGGCTTTCAAGACAGGGATACCGGATATGCCAATGGCTAGCGCCCGTCATAAGTCCATAATTTTTAAACTTCGTCAGCCCAGCTTGGCTAGAGCTACATCCTTTTCACCGATGCCATGTCGGTCACAGGGAGTAAGCTCCTAACCATGCCATCTGTAGGTTCGACGTCTCATTTATGAAATACATCCAAAGTGTGTTTAAAATTCACCGGAGCTGCTGAAGCATAGAACACATTGTTTAGCTCCCCCCTTGCGCATCCAATGCTTGATAGACACCTAGAGAAATAACGAGAGTCCTTGCGTGAGCTTATTTTCGCCCGTCGTATACTCGGGTGGAGCGGTTAGCAGGCTGGAACTTGTGGTTTTGGGTCAACAACTTTGTTCGTGTCCCATACATTGGAAATTCAGAGGACATAGTTAGCCTAGTCCTACTTCATGTCATCAAGATCATATAGGAAGAACTCGAGTCGCTGCTCGAGCCTTCATTCCACGCCTGACCAAATTCATCCTCCTAAATCCTTATTCTGACACCATAACTCGTTCTCCGCATGCTTCTAAATAATCACAATATTTATACCTCTACAGTCATAAAATATAGCAGTGACTCAAACTTCGGCTTGTGGATTAGGTCTCCATCTAAAGTAAAGTATGATTCTGCCCCACGTAGCCTCCACAAGTTCTTCCGAGCCCTAGAGCAGATCATCGGAGCGAAACATAGGTACAGCTTCGCGGCTCTTTGGAGTTTGATATCCCGCATGGAATACAGAGTAGCAAGGATTGATCTCGCCTTGTACTCCACCTGGCCTCGCGGACTACGAACAAAAGCAAGTATGCCAAGGGAGAAGAATTTGGCCGAAGAGAAAGATTTATAAAGATGGGGGATATCGGGGGACAAGATGATAGGGCATCTATGGTGTTGCTCAAAGACCAATTTTCGAGTCAGATTTTAGTCCGGTCACGCTGGTCAGCTTTGCTTCTGTCGAAAATTTCCTAATCTTTCCTCCATATGTTCCAAAGCCATTGCGATACTCCCGACACTTAATTCCTCAGTCTTACTCAAGTCAGATTTACTCATGGAATTTTCCATTATAGCGAGCCTTTGTATCGCTGGTGCGACCCGACTATTCCCGAGTCTGGATATCACAAAACGGTGCTCGCCCAAAATAAGCACTTCAGGCACCAATGTATATGAGGCGGGGCTTCCTTCATTGCTGAATATCATTGCAGCAGATGAGCATCTTTCGCCTTGGAGGTCTAAGCCTTCGAGCTTCATGATCTGTGCACTGGAGTCCCCAAAGACACCGCTTGAAGTATTTCCATGCGAATGTAAACTTCGGTATTTTTTCATGCTGGGGATCATAACACAGGCTTTACCAAGGCGAAATAGTATCGCCTCATCAACAAATTCGCTGGGAGCATTCGTGGGGATTTCGACAGTAACTATTTGCCCCTGGTTTCGCGATGAGTCTGCCAGTTGGCCTTCAAAAGGATCGAAAGATTTCCGCGTTGCAGGGGTCATAGGTACAAACCTGGAGATAAGAGATTGGCTCGAGCCAGCAGTGTGGGCCTTGACTGCCGGATCGATGAAACCTGTGAGACTATATTCGGTTGTAGAGCCACCAGTTATCCCTTGGCGGCCAAGGAGACCCTGTGGAGAACATGAGGTCTCCGTATCCCAAATTCCCCACTCACCATCGCTCTGTAGCACTAGAATCGCGCTACCGTTCTGGATCCATTTTGCGTCAGCTATAGACTTACGCTCAATTGAAAGTTTAGATTTAGCTGGAATAGAGCTATTTTTGGGAGCTGGAAATCCCGTATAGAGTGAAAGGAGCCAACCTCCCTGTGCGATAGAGAGAATATCAGGGGTGTTGTCTGGGGAATTAGGAGTAGTATAATCGAATATCCGACAGACCCCAATTGTTTCGGCAACTAGCAGATAATTAGACTTATTAGGGGAAGGATTAAATGAAATTGATCTTGCTGGAGATGCCAAGTAAATCGACTGAATTGGCTCAGTCTGTATGCAAGGCTCTTTTAATGGACTTCGCCAGATAAGGAGACGTCCATCTATTTCCCGCGAATGTGAGGCGATTATGTAGTTTAGGTCGCCATCTGATGATTCTAGAGTCATGGAGACGCCATCTGACACCTGTTGATGCCCATTTAAAATGACGATACTTTCCCCGCATCTTCTATTGTTAGTGTCTGAATCCGATAAAAATGTTTGAGACATAGGTCGTGATTCTGAAGCTTGTGATGGTGGTAAGAGAGGCAGTGAAATTAATCTGAGCGATTTATCTGCGCATACAGCAACAAATACAATAATATTAGAAGGAGCGGCCTTATAGGATCTCATAATTGAAGCTGGTAAAACAGAGAGATGATAAACACTGATACCTAAGCTCAAATCTAATACTTGGGTAATATCAGGATAAGAATCAGCAGTATTATGTCCTTCATTTGGAAATTCTTGGTCATCCTTCAGAGCCGTTGTTTTGATTGTTTCTGTTTCAATGTGGATATCAGAAGAAGCAATTTCTACGAATCCGTTTGACTTAGTGAACTGATTCGACCCAGGTTGTTGCTTCAAATTTTTCCCTCCTCTCCAGATGATTTTAACGCCATTTTCATGCCCACATATTAGAATTGTGGATCCGTTTAAGGATTTTATGGGATATACTGATACTGCATACGTCCGCTCGTATAATTCATACCTGTAAATCGGTTAATGTGACTTGTGTTTAATTCTAGAGATGCCTACTCGATACCTCAGGAGCAGACTCTGCGAGGTCTTAATTACTCTCGGTTTGGTAATATTTTCAGTCATAGCAAATGATGTTCGGATGGATGGATCGAATTCTCAGACTTGACATGGGATCGTGGGATAGCCTGTAATTGGTCTTAACAGGAAATTTACTTTGGTCGCGTAGGTGTTAAGCACAGTCGTGGAAGAAACGGAAACTGTAGGATAAATATTTATCCGATGATGGACCAACCTAGCTACAACTCGGACTTAAACCGAGAACCATTAGTCTAGAGGCGAATGAAATGAAATTTATCTAGCAGATGTTCGGTCCTGCGCAGAAAAAAATCGTAATTGCTAATGCCAAGAATGCATGAGATTGAGACCCACAGCTGATAGAAAGCTAGAACTGGAGAAGCTAATCAAAGACTAACTCGAAAACTGCCTCCTATCAGGCTAATTTATCAGCTACTCCGCCGTTCTAAATTTCCACTAAGTTACTTTTGTAGATTCTCGAGAATCACGCTGTGTAGTTTTTCCAACCAAATGATGATTCAAAGAGGATCTGAAGTCTAAAATACTCACTGCTTCTCGCTAAACGAGTGCTTTTATTGACAAATGAGCCAAGACTCTTGGAGACGGACAGAGATACCATATTAGCCTGTTCTATGGGATTTCAACCCTTTCCCTCTTGTACAATGGTTACTCATGCGGCCTTTACTCGTCAGATCCTTGAAAAAAAATTCTTGGTCTTTACGAACACATGTCGAAGCCAAGAACGGACCTTCAGCAATGAATGGGTCAACCACTCAATTAGGAAAATCATAACATGATCCATTTTTTTCAAGTGTATACTTTAAATAGAAGCTAGCCGTTCTTCCGTAGTCTCATCTCCTTGCTATCTCTACATAGCTTTTTTAGCTCTTGAATCACCCATAGGCTCTGGCTACACGGGATAAGACCATATATCGTCCAATTCGCTGTGATACCTTGGGTACTGAAGTTCAGTCTTACCGTGAGACTCATTTTGTATACAATATGCAGCCCTCAAGTGATCTAGAGAAGACTGGATTTCCTACATGCAATACTCAAGAACCCAAATCAAGATGTTCGACAGCAGATCCGGAGAAAGATGACCAGAAAATATCATCTTACAACATACGAACTAGTTTTTCTTCAAGTTCCTTAAATAATACCGCATTATCTCCTGAGCGCATTCTACCGTTTGATATAGAGACCGAGAGAGATGTAGGATTTTCATCATTAAGTTGTAGCAAAACTGCAGTTTCTTTAGCAGCAGATGTCTCTCGTCACCCATCATTCGAGGTAAAATTCGATGCTAATGGAGAGAAGCCACAGCATTGGCCACTTTGGTACCGAATTCTTATCATTGCCGCCGTTAGTTTTGCGTCATTTATCGTGGTAATTCATGGTACAGCCTATACGAGAAGTATGCCAGGAATGATAGAAGAGTTTGAACTGAAAGATCTGTCTTATGCCACTCTAGGAATGTCCTCATATTTACTTGGTATATCTGCTGGGAGCTTAGTAATGGCTCCACTGAGTGAGGTATATGGCCGGAAGGTTGTCTATATCGGAAGTCTTTTTCTTTATTCAGTTTTTATAGTGCCATGCGCTCTCGCCACAACCTATCCCCAGATTATTGTTATGAGATTTTTGGGGTGAGCAAATTTCACTTATAGACGATCCTCCGCTAACACTTCCAGTGCCTTTGTCGGATCAGTTACAATCTCCAACACACCTGGTACAATTTCTGATATATTTGATGAAAAGTACAGAGCTCTTGCAATCAGTTCATGGAGTCTTGCCCCTCTAAATGGACCGGTAGTGGGGCCTTTAATTGGAGGATTTGTGGCCCAATATTTAGGTTGGAGATGGATCTACTGGCTGCTCTTTATTATGTCTGTCATAAGTTGGTTTCTTCTGATATTCGTTAAAGAAACCTATGTGCCTGTCTTGCTTCAGAGAAAAGCTGCGCGGATTCGCAAAGAGACAGGGGATGATAGATGGTGGTGCCAGTATGACGAGAAGTTGAGTAGTGAGTCTCAATTCTATTTGTTCCGATCCAGGCTAAAAATACGATTTAAGTGATTCAAGTACTAAAGGCTAGTATTCCGCGACCTATAATACTAGCATTCACAGAACCGATTCTATGGCTATGGAATGCTTATATGTCGGTGAGTTAGTCACATAACAGTCTAACCACCATAAAACTTCTGACGCATCTTAGATAACCTACGCTATACTCTATCTTAGCTTTATTGCTTATCCATTAATATTTGTTGATCTTCGCGGTTGGTCACAAAGTCTCGCCGGATTAGCTTTCTTGGGTACCGGCGTAGGAAATTTGGTGGCAATTTTAGGTGAACCTCTCTTTCGACGCATTATTAACTCGCATCGGAAGGACCCAGAAACGGGACAAGTCCCGCTCGAGGCATCTATAAGTATACTTTGCATCGCATCAATCCTTTGTCCCCTTGGCCAGATTTGGTTTTCTTGTACAGCACTGCCTATCAGCATTCATTGGATATGGCCTATTTTGGCAGGAATTCCATTCGGTGCCGGGAATTGCTTGGCGATGATTTACAGCACAAACTATATCTCCAACAGCTATGGTATATATGCTGCCAGTGCAATTGCAGGGAATATCGTCATGAGAAACGTTCTGGGTGGTCTGTTACCGCTTTCTGCGGCTGCAATGTATGCCAAGCTCGGCCCTCAATGGGCAGGTACACTGCTTGGTATATTGGAGGTAATTCTCATTCCTGTACCATTTGTTTTTTACAAGTGGGGCCGGAAAATACGGGAAAAAAGTTCGGTAATTAGTCGCATGCAACTAGACATGCAGGGCAAGTAGAAAGTAGGGGTTGGGGGATTGGAGTCTTCAAATACAATAATATCTTAGTTGGCCGGACCGAATTTCGGCACTAATAATCTTGGGAGATGACGGCACCACAGACTAAGCTGAGGAGTTGCTCAATGCAATGCAGTTCGATACGCAAGGTAAGCTTTAACATTTTTAAAGATTAGAACCTAATATTTCTATTTGACGGATCGGTTCATATACTGCGAAAAAAAGGATGAATTTATTTGATTTGTTGAATTTATTTGTGCCAGGATAGTCCAGGTATGAGGCCTCTTGGGCTTTATCTGGCATGACACGGACGAAATCCAACTTTTTTCCCGAATAGGTGAAAGCAATGATGATTTATATGAAGGCTACCCTGTATAGTAGGTGCTACGGGGGGACTATTCTCAACACCTGTCAGTGGTGTCCCCTACGAACCTCCAGCTCTCACTGTAGAGTCTGCAGAGCCGAGATTGAGTAACAAAGTCCTCACTTCGACGAGGATTCCCAATCGCTTTCGCCGTCTGTATCGTCTTCATCTCTCAACACATTCCCCTATCACCACTATCATGAAGCTAACCACGATCAGATCAGATGGTAGGGTCGGAGCCCTACTCGTCACCCACCCTTGATCATGGAGGAAAAGCCATCCGATGAGTTTCCGGAGCGTACCCAGCACCCGATACGGAGATGGTGGATTGGATCAAGTCGACCTCGACTGTTACAAAGAAGGGAGATATAGATGAATATGCGCACCTCATGTGGTCCCGGTGTCTAGGCCTCGCCTGGCTGGGGCTGCAGGTTTTTTGAGACTTTTTCCCGCGCACGCAGTTTCCATTGCTACCATTTTTATTTTTTTTGGGTAGAAGGTTCCGTGGAAAAGGTGGCTGAATTCCACGGGTAAATACTGAGCTGAATGGCTATTCATCAAGGGGAATATATCAATGATCTTTAAGTAACAAAAGAGGATAGGAGCACTGTACAAGGTGTGGCCTGGGTCAGAGAGGAGCCCAATGTGCTAGATAGTCATAGACTCAAGTAGTACAATAAAACACACACACTAGTAGGTGCTACATGATTATATTATTTCTCGGGTAGAAGATGAAAACTGAATGCTTACAGCAGTATCCGCTAGCAATTTACGAATGAAATATTCACCAAGATTCGAGATTCAATCAGACTTCACATTGAAATCGACATAATTGTTCATGGTAATGGTCTAAGCCTTACTACTAATTCAATTATTTGCATCGAAAAAGCCAGATCCTAATTTAAGCATAATCTCAAGTAAGAGAACAAGGTCGTTTATCTTCTTTTTAATAAACAATTTTCTCAATTAACGTGTCTTTGGTGTTCGAATACTCGATCGCTATTCTATGTATACTCGTCGGAAAAGTCAAACCACGATACGAAAATTCTAGCCACCTTTATCCTTGTGTCATACGCGAAAGAATGGGTGTCGCGAGATCAATTGAGAGAGAGAGGGAGAGATGTATGTTTATCGTACTACCTGAGTCATAGACTATCTAGCATATTGGGCTCTCTTCTGGCACAGGCTACACCTTGTACAGTGCTTCTTGCCTCTTTTGTTGCTTAAAAGATCATTGATCTATTGCCCGTGACGAGTAGCTATTCAGCTTAGTGTTTACTCATGGAATTTAGCCACCTTTTTCACGGAAACTTCTACCCAAAAAAAATGGTAGCAATGGAAGCTGCGTGCGCGGTAAAAAAAGTATCGAAAAAGCTGTAGCCCCAGCCAGGCGAGGCCTAGACACCGGGGCCATATGAGGTGCGCATATTCATCTATATCTTCTCCCTTTGTAACATTGGAGGCCGACTTGATCCAATCTGCCATCTCCGTATCGGGTGCTGGGTACGCTCTGGAAACTCACCGGATGGCTTTTCCTCCATGACAAAGGGTTAGTGATGAGTAGGGCTCCGACCCTACCACCTGATCTGATCGTGGCTAGCTTCATGATAAAGATGCTAAGTGGGATGTATTTAGAGATAGACGATATCGACCGCGAGAGCGTTTGAGAAATCTCATCTAAGTGAGGGCGAAGGTGTTACTAAATCTCGAGTTTGCAGATTCTATAGTGAGAGCTGGAAGTTCGTAGGGAACTCTTCTGATAGATGTTGAGCTTTTGTTTTTCTATTAAACGTACTAAACCTTGCAATTATTGACCTGAATTTCGGATTGATAAGCTCTGATCGAGGATTTTGACAAAATTGGGATAACAACAACACCGGAACATTACTGTGAATTTCCGTGCTATTCTCAGCGCTCGATCATCTTTATATTATGGTACCAGTGATACTCTCGATGTATTGACAGGATAATTATACCCTCACAATCAACGCTTCTTTTGTTGCATTATCTTCATGGCAGTGTTTTATTGGAAGATCGACTACACATTCTATTCAGTCTGGCTGCTTCACAGAATATGAGCTCTCAATTTCAGTTTTATCACTTATTAGCAGCTAAGATAGGTTCATCTTGTCTTTTTCATAAACTCGTACCCTTACGGCTGATTTTGTCCATACTAGACTGACGATTGAGGCATGCGTTGGTTGACCTCACATTCTAACTATTAGTTGCTGATCGGCTTCGCAGGAGGCCCCTCCTGGCCCTTCCCAATTGTCTTCTCCGAGTTGATTATCATTTAATACATTGGCGTAGCCGTCAAATTCGATCTTAAGTTCGTCACATTTGTCCTGGTACTTCGGACGCTCGGTTTATTTGCACCACTGTTGTCGAAGACTATTTTTTTCCATTATCACCGGCCATTTCGGTGCCTTTTTGAAGTAAATCTCCCTAATTGAAAGAATTTATCAAGGAAATAATGACCTATGAGTCATCGAGGTTTTTTTTTGCATCAGATTTTAATTGCGTATGCAGCTATCTAGCTATGACACAATATCAAAGAAAAGTACAGAAATGATGACTCAATTTATAAGAGGAGTACTCATGCCTCAGATTTCATTTGCAAGTACCACTGCGAAGTTATGGTGGCTTTTTCTTCACCCCAAGTCAACCCTCATCCGTGAATACCCACCCAGGGGAACGTCTCAAAAACCCTGAGTTATCCAGACATGCCTCCATCATCTTTCAACTTTTCTCCGCGCGAAATGTAATCTGAGATGTCTCCTTCCCAAGTGGAGTAGGTGCCCAGGCTACTTAAACCATACCAGAGAACACCACCAGGAAACGGACCACAACACCTTCCATCGTTTGCTTGTTTTTATAGTATCAGCTGCACTCTCGCAAGCGAAGACTTGGCGCGCACAAAGCTCAATTCGTAAAACTCCTTGCCAAAATTCGGAATCTCACGCCCTTCGAGGTTATATCCATCCTTTGCATCATCTTGTCAATTTGTCCTGATCCCTCTCACGTCCATCTCAAAGAACCGTCTCCTAGATTTGTGCGCCACGCTTTGCTTCCTCCGTCGGGTATAAATATCGGCGTGGGCGTGTATTTGGTGACCGGCTGAGGCCATAGAAAGTCGGCGAGAGGTGTGATCATTGGAATGAGGATGTACTAGGTCGTACTTGTAGACTTGATGAAGCTTAGATGAGAATCGGACTCTTCGGGAGCGAAAAAACGGCGCGGAAGAGTACTTTGAATCATTGCCTTGTGGGCCAACTTCTTTAATATTGCGAAATTTGACTGAACTTGGCTCTGGGAGAATATTTCACTCTTAGGTTCGTAAAAGGCACCGCGTACAGGTGTTCAGTCTTGCCCTCCGAGTCATCGAGGTTGTAGAGCGCATTGATTCAAATTGTATTTATTTATTTGTTTGTTTATAAAGGTCTACCGGGCTTCAGCTACGGCTAGGGCCCCAACCCTTGGGGGGCAAGGTGACAGAATTGATTCAAGTAGCGACAGAAGAGAAACTAAGTACAGGATTCGTAGACACATGCCTATCAACAATTCTCCCAGTGCCAAGTTCAGTCAAATTTCGCAATATTAAAGAAGTTGGCCCACAAGGCAATGATTCAAAGTACTCTTCCGCGCCGTTTTTTCGCTCCCGAAGAGTCCGATTCTCATCTAAGCTTCATCAAGTCTACAAGTACGACCTAGTACATCCTCATTCCAATGATCACACCTCTCGCCGACTTTCTATGGCCTCAGCCGGTCACCAAATACACGCCCACGCCGATATTTATACCCGACGGAGGAAGCAAAGCGTGGCGCACAAATCTAGGAGACGGTTCTTTGAGATGGACGTGAGAGGGATCAGGACAAATTGACAAGATGATGCAAAGGATGGATATAACCTCGAAGGGCGTGAGATTCCGAATTTTGGCAAGGAGTTTTACGAATTGAGCTTTGTGCGCGCCAAGTCTTCGCTTGCGAGAGTGCAGCTGATACTATAAAAACAAGCAAACGATGGAAGGTGTTGTGGTCCGTTTCCTGGTGGTGTTCTCTGGTATGGTTTAAGTAGCCTGGGCACCTACTCCACTTGGGAAGGAGACATCTCAGATTACATTTCGCGCGGAGAAAAGTTGAAAGATGATGGAGGCATGTCTGGATAACTCAGGGTTTTTGAGACGTTCCCCTGGGTGGGTATTCACGGATGAGGGTTGACTTGGGGTGAAGAAAAAGCCACCATAACTTCGCAGTGGTACTTGCAAATGAAATCTGAGGCATGAGTACTCCTCTTATAAATTGAGTCATCATTTCTGTACTTTTCTTTGATATTGTGTCATAGCTAGATAGCTGCATACGCAATTAAAATCTGATGCAAAAAAAAAAAAAAAAGCCTATCAACAACGAGGCCTACTTGATAACCCCAACTATTATAAATTCTAAGCGTAGGGAAGCTGGATTTGCATCCTTGGCTCCTCCCGTGGTGCTAAGCGTTTATATTTTATTTTGGAGAAGACAAAGTTCCTTTCGGAAATTTGCCCGATCAGTGCCAATTGACTCATGTCCATGTGAGAGTCCCGCTGTACAGCGCTCACAACACCCTAACAAATTCATTTTTTAAGGCCTTCAGGCTCCCAAT